TCTTTCCCTTAAAAACACACACAAAAACTAGTCAAAATAAACAAACCAGAAATCAGTTCAAGAGTATTATATGTAATTGCATTGGTTTTTTGTTTTGGTTTAGTTTTTCCTGTCAAGCCCATCCCCCTGCCCACTCCTTCAGAGCATCAAAAACATTTTCTGTTCTGGTTCTAGCCTCTCCCTAACCCCAGTGCTACAGTTGCCATTATTTTTCTGTGGGAAAACTACTGGTATTTGCTTTCCTGTATAGAATGTTGCCTAAAGATGTCAGCCATCTGGTTTGGGGGGTTTGTGCATGTTTGGTTTTTTATTTTTTTATTATTTTTTTTACCAGTGTGCCGTCAAAGCACTGGTTAGGCTTTAATTGTGAAACTCCGCAACAAAAGCAAATGTTTAACAACTGCAGGAGGCTTTTATCTGCATTGTTGTGCATCTGTTAATTCTTGATCAGGGTTTGAAGAAGGACTGGAGTGGGTTCTGGAATCAGGCTTAATGCTGTTGATTTGGAGTTTCCTAGGGGTGAATTAATGTATTTCACAGTTAATTGTTGAGCTCTAATACAACTGGCAACTTAAAATCGGGCAACAGTTTGTTTTGTAACAATGTCAGTTGTTTAAACCTTGATGTTTCAAATAAAACAAGAATTGTACATAGAACTCAATGCAAACTCAGCAGTTGTATTTGGAGTTAAATTATTTTAACAAATAAATTTATTTAATGAAATCTCCCTTGTATTTCCTGTATTGTTCATTTTGATTTGTTCAAAAAGTTCATCGAAAGCTGATGAGGGCTACCCAGTAATTTCAAACACCGCTGTCAACTGTTTGTGGTTCAGCTAAGTATTTCTTGCCAAAATGCTCTTCTGGTACAGATTAAATAGCAATAACTAAAGAGCAGATACACTTAAATCACAACATGCATCCATCCATAAAAATGAAAATTATAAGCTTGAGAAAGAACCATAGCAATGGGTTTTTTGTTTACTTTTCTTAGAGGGATGTGCACTGACAACGATCGGTAAGACTCGGTATTTTATATAAGATATGGCTCTTGCTATGACAAGGGAATATTGCTTACTGTAAAATAGAAAAAAATTGCTCTTCTGGTACAGATTAAATAGCAATAACTAAAGAGCAGATACACTTAAATCACAACATGCATCCATCCATAAAAATGAAAATTATAAGCTTGAGAAAGAACCATAGCAATGGGTTTTTTGTTTACTTTTCTTAGAGGGATGTGCACTGACAACGATCAGTAAGACTCGATATTTTATAAGATATGGCTCTTGCTATGACAAGAGAATATTGCTTACTGTAAAATAGAAAAAAAATTATGTATGAACTTGGTCATTATACAATACAGCTAATACGCAGAACTAGTTTTGTAACATAGAGGTTGCAAAGGGTTAAAAAAAGGGTTATTTGTTATGTCAACTGTTCAATTGATGAGTGTTTTGCAGGCTTTCAGCACCACACAAAAGAAGTTGGTGTTAGAACTTCAAATACAATTAGCAGAGATTTGTAAATGAACAGTTGAGCTAATGCTAACAGGATTATTGTAGCTAATTGGCACTGATCAGCAGTTACATTTTAGTCATGCCAGTATCACTGAAATACTCTGTTTCCAGTAATGTTGGGTGCTTTGTGGTTCCTTGTTTTCATGTCATGGGTGCCATAGGGAGCAAGAAGCCTGAGGCTGGCACATCTTAAAAGCTCCTAGTTCTCTAGATAATGTAGAAGGCTGACACATACTGCTGATTTTTTTGTTTGTTTTGATTTGCCCATTCATCCTGTAAAACAGTTGTGGGGGAACTTCTGCTGATGGGTTCTTGTCGTCCCATTAATTTAATAATGTCCTTTTGCTTTGCCACAGAAGATACCTGTACAGAGACAACAGGGTTCATTGGGCTCTTCTGAACAGTGAGAAAAAAAAGC